TGAGGGAGGGGTTAGGCTGCTTCTCCTGGTCCTTCCCAGGGTTGTTTGCCACTGGGGCTGAAGGTCCTGCGTGCTTCAGGACTGCTGTGCACCAATGTACTCCTTTCTCACAGGTTTCCAGAACTAACATTCCCCTTACCATTCCTGGAAAAATGGCTTTTGGGGAACGTATCTTGTTTTGAGGGTCAGAGGTTAACGCTGTTCTCCAGCATCCATAGCAACCTGCCCTAAAACTCCCTGCTTGGAAATCTTTTAATCTTTCTTAGATGCCTTTTGAATGTTTTCCAGTAATGTTCAGATCTTTCCCGTTCACAACTACTAAATATACACTCTGTTTGGACTGCAGACCCTGGTCTATTTTTAAATTTATTTCCAACATATTTAAATCTTTCTGCCCTTGATAGAACAGTTTGATCTGTACTTAAACCCCAGGCCCTGCTGCTCCCTCTCCATTGCCCAATCTCAGCACCACCGAAGGGGGCTTATTCTGGTGAACTTCTGTGTGGGCAAGGACTCTGTCAGCTTCTGTCCGGCTAGAGGCAGACTTACAGATGGAAAAAGTGGACAGGAAAGAAAGGAAACTAGTTGTCCCTATAAAAAAAAAAAAAAAAAAAAAGAGCAATGAAACACCTCTGGAGTTTTCATCATGTTTGTAAAGAGTTAACTGGGTTTTGGGGCAGAAAATACTGTAATAGAGCAGTGAATTCCTGCCTGTGGAGCATTTTTTTATTCCTCTGGGTTGAAATGGTCAATGGCTTACGTGTGTAAGGCAGAAAACAAGTGACTGCTTGCTTCCTCCTGTGCTAATATTTAGCAGAGCTTTATTTATTTGATTAGGTGCAAGGAATATGTGCTCATTGTTTACATTACTTGAATGGCAATGGCAAAAAAGAAATCTGTTTGTGTTTTTTTAATCTTTGCTATTCTTGTCTCTGGGGTGTTTTTCTGGACCTGGTGAAGATTTAAAGGAGGGGCTGAGAGAATATTCTCCGGTGTGTGGGCAGCAAGGGACTTATTCCGCTAGCGAGCGGTGACTTGATTAAGCTTACGCATCTCCACTCGACCTTCATATGGAAATTTGCCCTTTAAATAATGTTTCTAAGTCTCCAGGGTCAAATCTGAGCTTCTGTGATGCAAACCACTGCTAATGAAACCACTGCATCCTGGGCTGGCAGCATCCTGCTGGAAGTGGGGCTGAGCCTAAAGTGACACTGGGATGTCCCAGCCCTTCCCGGGACCCACTGCAGCCCTGGGAAGGGGGCTGAAATCCAGTGGTGACCAGGCTTTGAGTGTGGGCTGGAGTGCCACAAAGCTCTTTTCTCTTGGGGACAGTCACAGTCCTGTTTTTTTCACTCGTGCTAACTAGCCTTGGCCATGGCAGTTGCTGGGCTCTGCTTGCTTAGTTTTCTTCTATCCATGGGCTGTGCCCTCAATAGCAACAGAGATAAACCCACTCTCCTGACAATACTGGTGCTTTAGAAACAAGGGGAGAGAAACCCAGACCCTGTCTCTTTTGTTTCTGCCATAATATCCGTAGCACACAGGGGTTGGATGGTGCAGCAGAACCGCTGCCTGGTGTTTCCAGCAGGAAGGCAGGTGAAAGGGTTAAAGGCAGAGCTGGTGCTTGTTCCTCCATGGCATTATCTGTGTGATTGCTTTTCATATCTTGTTTACTGTGGTTAGCAGAGCAGCTATAATATAGAGTGCTAGATGCAATAAATCTTGTCGCTGCAAACAGTGCACTTCTCATCAGAGCTCAGGGAACTGCAAGGTAAGCATTTGAAGGCAATCTATAGATTTAATTATACAGAAAGTCTAACCCACGTAGATCTTACAGGAAGCTATAACCATGAAGATTGTTGTGTTCAGTTTTATTTGTATTATGTATATTATCCCATTTTAGTTGTTCTGAGGATGCAGACAACAGCACTACAAGTGCGGTGCCTGCTGTGGTTGTGTATCAGTATGGAAAAGCCAAAGCTGCCGGTGATTTAAGGGATGGGTTTTTTCCCTTTCTACCTGACAGCTACATCTGTAAATTCACTCCTGCATTTTAAAAGCCTGTGATGCTAATTGTAGCCCAAGAAATCCCATCAGGTAAAGGAAACCATCTTAGATTTTATATACTTATTGAATAAGAGGCCTGTGGCCACAAAGCAAAGCCCTGTGCATCAAAGCGACAGGTCCCAGCTGCTCCGATCCCCAACCTGCTGTGCTCAGGAGCTCGGTGCCCAGCACCGGGCTGGCCCTGACACATCTCCTGGGTATCTCCTGCCCTGGGCAGGAGTGTGGGGCCATTTGCTGTGTTAGTGAAAAACACCTGCACAGATCCTGGATGTCTGGGGTTATAGAAGCTATAGCAACTTTTATTTGTTGCTGACTTGTAAAATCCCCAGTTTGGGATGTGCTCATGTGCCAGTTCTGGCAGACTGGTAGCCCATGGTATGGGGTTCTGGGGAGACACGATTGGTGATTTTAGGGCTTTAGCTCTTTTTCCTTTAAGCTTCCTATCAGCTTTTTACAGCAGCAGTTTGCTCTCAAACAGCCCAAGTGCCAGCTTTTTGCACTTCTCCCTCGGAGGGTGAACATCACTGTGCTGTGGGGTTTTCAACACAACACAAACCTCATTGAGGGGGCACCTGGGGGGCTTTCACTGATGTTGGCTTCCTCAGGAGACACCGCTTCAACAAACTTGAGGCTTTAAACAAGATTTTTGGGGTTGAGGGCCTTGCTTTGGGCAAAAAGGCCTGGTTCATTGATGGCTTCCTAAGCTGAGGTCTGAGGTGGGCTGGAGGCCTCAAACTCTGTTACCCAGGAACAGGAATAGGATGGTTAGAAACAGAGGGATTGGGCATTGATGATTAGCAGTGAGACCAAGCTGGGTTCAAACACTCAGCTCTGTATCTGTGGTGGCTGTGCAAACACCACGGTGTGGCCCATGGAGGGCCTGGTGTGGCCTTCCCAGCTCAGCTGCCCCAGTCACAGGGGAATTTTCCAGGTGTCACCGAAGCTTCGCCCAGACACGGGTGGTTGCTGCTGCTGGGGGCCCTCCTACGCAGGGTGAGTCAGGAGGAGGTTGCCCAAGGAGCCCTCAGGGGAACGTGGTGCTCAGGAACGGGTTTGGCCAGGAAGGAGATGGATGGGAACAGCCTGGGTGGGAAGGGGCAGAGCAGGCGATGGGTCTGCCCCAAATTCCCCGTGTCTGTCCTGCTTGAATGATAAGAGTTGTGCTCTAGATCAAAACTAAAAAGTGCATTTTTGTCTTATATTAAAGTGGGGATTGAAATGTAACCTAAAATCACCAACAGCTGAGCATCCACAACAAAATAAAATGCACACTTAATTAGCACAAACCCACTTATTTCCACCCATAAGCAGCAGATGCTGAGACCTCACTCCTGCCTCAGTGGCAGCGGCCTTGCTCTCTGTAAGACACCCTTGCGAAATCTGAGTACTGGGCCTAGCAGTAACTTGGATCCTGCATAATTAAGATGCTGAACAGGGCAAATTAAAAATAAATTTCTGACAACTGTGCCAGTGATTAAACTTAGAATATTTATTTCAAGCTCTGCTGACTGGTAACAGTGCCCGGGGAGGGGGTCTCTTCTCGGGGGGCAGAGTGGGTGCTGTGGCACAGCACGACTTGGTTTGTGATGTGTGGGAGCAGTGGTGACGTCCTGCCCCATCGCAGTGTGGGTGAGGAGACACCTTGGTGGGAATTTTGGCAACCCAGATGTCCGCTTTCCTCACTCTGCTTTAAAAAAATATATTTTTTTTTTTCAAAAAACCATTAATATGCATTTGAGTAGCAGCATGATCCCAGGAACTAGCTCTGCTCATGCACATGGTAAGAGCCAAGATGCATAATTTCCTTGTGTTGACTGGGGAAATCCTGACCCTTGTTGCTCTTAATGAGAAGTTCTTAAAAGCCAATTTTGTGCTGATGGCAAACCTGTGATAAGGGCTGGTGCCAGCAGCTGTGCACACAAGCACAGGTTGTGTACTCTTTAATAGAACACATCCCTGTGATCCCTAATAAAAGCCCTCATTTCTGACACCCCTAGATCCCCTTCATGCCCACCTTGAAACTTTGCACCTTCTGATGCTGAGCTCCCCTAATTCTCTTTCTGGGGGGCAGAGGTTCCCATTGTGGCTCAGGATTTGGCCCTTGGGGACTGGTGCTGTCCCCACGCGCTCTGAGTGTTGGGTTGGTGACAAATGGGTGTGATTGTGGCACGTGTCTGGGTTACGGCACGCAGAGCTGGCTTGTAAATGAAGCGTTTTGTTAATGCCAGAGGAAATGGATAGATATTAATTGTTCTTCAGTGGTTTGTCGTTTTTCATGGAGGTTATTGATGAAATAACAGTAATGCCAGGGAAAACAGGGGAAGGGAAACAGGTTGGGAACAACCTGAAGAAAAAGGGAACCCCCTGTACCAGCTGGAGGCGGAGCTGGGCTGTGTTTTATGCTGAAGCATTTCCAGTAATTTGCCAAAATCCAAATGTTTCATGAATTCCTCTTGGCTTCACCAAGCTGCTCATATAAAAATTTCTTCTAAAAGTCAAAACACTATTTTAACGCTTCCAGAATGAGCCACTTTGATTTTCCCCCATAAATCTGCCGTCTTAAGTTCGTTTCATTATAAAAACCCCAAATTTGGGGTCTGTGTGCGTGCAGCTTTGGATGCAGCTTGAATAAAAAATGTTGGTACTTTGGATCTGTGCTGAATCCAATCTAACATCGTGGTGATCATCCTAGGCCAGCTCTGGGGAGGGGACTCTTAATTTCCTGGATAGGCATACATTTATTAATTCCTACAATTTAGCAGGGAGAATTGCCAGTAAAGTGGCAATGCTCTTTTATAGCAGTGGCACTCCGCATGCTATTTGCAGTTCAGAGGAGCAATGAGCAGGTACGCATTCAGTGATTTGTGCGTGGAAAATTTTCATGCAGCAGAAGGAACAAAATCATTCACATTGGATTCTTTTGCCCTTTGCAGATAGATGTGCATGGCCATGTAGAGAGTTATGGCTTCTTTAAAGATGCGGATACACACCAGCCTTTGGTCTGGGTAAGTCAAGGGGAGAACAGAGTGCACTTGAGTTGCTTTTGCTGTGAATTTATAGAAAGCTTTGACCTTAAAGGGAATAGCATAGCTTTGCTCTGTCTGTTTGCACTCTGTGTTGCTCAGTGATGTTGCCTAGCTCTCAGCATGCTGTTTCATTCCTACATGAATTTCTAATAATCCTGCCTCTGTGCTTCAGTCTCTTCCCCGTCTTTCTCTTCTCTCCAGCCTCCACGTTCCTGGCAGTGGGTCAGGCTGTGCAAGCACTGATAGACAAAACAACCCCATGTTCTCGCTGTCTTTAAACATGGGGGGCAATTTTTCTTGGAGGAAGGGCTTTCCCACTCTGATCTAAGTAGCATTTAAGTTTTGCACCTGTGAAATCCCCCTCTGAGAACAGGGCCAGGAAAAGCTTTCCCTAACTAAACCCAACAGCAAGCAGTCATTTAAATGCATCTTTTTACTGCTTCCCCTCCCTTCACCTGATGTATGCAGTAGTTTGGCTGACACATGGGTGCTGCTCACACGGGCTGGCCTCTTAACCTGGTTTCCTGCCTGCAGTTCCAGCAGCGACAGCCACATTGCTCAGGCCATGGCCGTAGCCACATCCCCATGTAGGAACCCAGGATTTGGCCTGAACCCAGCCTGGGTGACCTGTGCGATGGGTGCTTTCCTCCACGTATTGGCTGTGGGTGTCACCAGAAATTCAGTGTGGCATTATTGTGAGAAACCAAACAAATACTGGGATTACTCAGAAATATGCATAGGATTTTCTAGAGTTACACTTTTTTTTTAGATTATAAGGAAATGTGGGAAAACCTAGGGAAAATCTAGTTTGTTTGATGTTCTGGTATGGGGAAACTATTTTTCAAGCTGTCCTTGGGCAGAGTCACTTGGCATGTGTTGCACAGGGCCATAAAGCAAGCTGGGCATCCCCAGGGTGGCTTTCATACCGCAGAGCAGCTGGGGTTGAGTAGATGCCTTAATATTTCTGCAAACCCTTCAGAAAAGCAATTCTGACCAATTGCTCCCAATCTCGACCACTCAGAGCAGGACCAGGAGTGCCTTGGGAAGGGACACCTCTGTGCAGCCTCTGCGCAGGTTGCTCTGCGCTGGCACATTTGGAACTTCAAAGGCAGGAGCTGAGAGGTTTCTGAGAGCCTCGGCTTTGTTATTCATCTTCCTCGGTGCTCATAAATTATCAACAAACAATCTCAGCTATCAAGTCGGTGAGGAGGACCGGGTAATTATGTTTGTGGTTCAAAATGAGGGTTGTCAATTTTAATTAGGGAAAGCTGAGGGCACAGGGAATTTTTAATGTTACCACCTGAACTCTCCAGTGCTGCACAGAAAATAATTGTAAATGAAAAATTAATCAGGGATCGGTAAGCATTGCAAGGGGCATTTCTTTCCCCCATGTTTTATTATTATTTTCTCTCTTTGAAGCAAAGGGGGATCTAGCTATACAATTGCCAACAGGTTTGCTTTTAGGAAGAAAAGCTCACAGGCACGTACCAAAGGGGAGCAAGGCACTTTGTGCTCCTGCCTCCTGAAGTGGTGGAGGATACCAGAGCTCATCCCGGGGATGGGGCTGCTCCCTGTGCAGCTAACAGCCGGGAGCATCGATGCCATCATACCTGCTGCTGCTAAAAGCGAGGAGCTTCATCCTTTAATGTCACCGGCAGCCGGAGGGGCTGTCTGTGTGACTGCAGCTTCTGAGGAGCTGGCAAATGTCAGCCCATCACAGGGAGCGGGGGTTAAGTTTTAATCAGCGGGCCAGCATCCTCTCCTAATTTATTTTCCTTCATTTAGACAGGATTTGCTGGATGGCATGCGATCCTGTGAATATTTATAATGAGAAATTTTTCTTGCTGCTCCTGTGATTAACTAATTTGGTGCTTCCCAAGGACACGCACAGTGAAGGTCAAAGCTGAAAAGGTCCCATCCTGTCCTGGCACTTTCCTTCGGGCATTGTTAGAGCAGTACCAGGCATGACTTCAGCTCATCTGTGTGCTCGCTAGGATGGGCTTTTCCTCAGCTAGGCGACACCTCCTTGTTCCGAGTGTGCTTAGTATCGCCAGAGCCTCATCCAAAATAATCTCAGGACAGCAAAAAGGCATTTTAGTGGGCTTAGGTCAGGCCCAGAGTGAGTCAACTGCAGCAAATGAACTCCCATTTGCTAATGCAGTCCTATAATAGTGCACGCAGGCACTTGGCAATTGTAGTTAAGTCATAAAAAATAATGAAAAAAATGCAGTTATTTTTTAATACTGTATACTTCAATTATGGTAAGAATATACTCAATCTCTGATTAGAAATACCTTGAGTGGCTTGGCTGATGCTGGTGGGGAAGATATAATTTACAGCAGGTGACATGTAGCCAGCTGGTTTCACAGCCTGCCTTACAGCCCAGCGATGCAAAAACAAAATAAACCTGGACCAGATGCTGAGTGAAAGTCCTGCAGTTGCCTTTTTGGTGGTATGTTGAGTAGTCCTCAATCAGAAACTCAAAGGACCCTATATAGGGCCCCTGACCCTATAAAGCCAAAGGGTTTGTCCATGCACACCACCTGCAAAACCTCATTGGGTGGATTTCCAGGTGACTCCCACAATTATTTGAGGAAATACAGGGGCTTTGTGTTCCCAGACTCTGTAGTGCACAGGCACGGTGGTGGGATGTCCCTTCCACAGCCCTAAAAAGCAGGAAAGTGTTTGTGGTGTGTGGGCACAGCTCAGGCAGGGCAACTAAACCTCACTGATGCATCATCCAAAATCAGACCCTGGAGCTCCCTGCTTCCTTCTAGAAATTTCAGCTTCTCTTTTTGCTCCTGGTTTGCAGCCATGCTGATGAATGTGGATATTCACAGCGAGGCAATCTGCAGCCAGGCTCAGTAGATGCTGCATTTTCCCGTGCCAGCTGTCTGACACTGCAGGGTTTGGAGAAAAGCCTGCACGTGTGAAGCGCGCTCCTGGGAGCCTCCACGTCTGCAGCTGTTCCTGCAAACTGCAGCTGGGTGTGCTTCAAGCTTTGCTGGGATTTGGGGATAGGAGGTGCAAGTCTGGCACCAAAACCACTCGGGCTGGAGGTTTAGAGATGGAAGAACCGTGTTGTAGATTAATCTTGGCCACGCTTAACACCTGTAGCCAGAGGCTGTGGGGCAGGTTTGTCCCAAACAGCAATTCTTGTGGTATAAATGGCAACTGGGTGAGGCTCCCCCTGCAGTATGAGGGGGTCACCGGGGCTCCCATGTGCTGGGCTGGACTGTTGCTGCCCCATCCCCTCCCGACAGCTGTGCCAAGCACAGCCCAAAAAACATGTTAAACCACACGGAAATTCCCTGTTTTCATCAGTCCTCAAGCCAGAGGTGACAGAACCAAGAGAGGCTTCATCAGCTGGATTTTAGAAATGGTAATGAGCCTGCCTTGCTTATGCATACTCAGAAATGCCTGGTGTTCCTCCTGAAGAGGGCTGCTCAGCCGGCAGAGTCCTCCCTGCAGAGAGCATCGCCCGACAGCGACAGCTCTGCTACACCAGGCGAAGGATCTGACCCCAGCTCCCGCAGCCCTGTGGCATTTATTGTTGGAGTCTATCACAGCAGTGTGGCAGGGTGTCCCTCCCCAGAGCAGCCTCTACGTGCACGGGTGCTGAGCTGGTCACAAGCCGTGTCCGGCTGTGAGCATCCAGCAGGGAACCACGCCAAGCAGCCCTGCTGCCTGGGTGCTGCCCTTCAAGGGCTTTTGGTCCTCGTTACGAAGCTGTTCCCAAAGATGAGCGTAAAGAACCGCAAGCGCCTTCCCCCTGTCTGTTTGCATTTGTGGGATCTGACCTACTTTTTGTTGTTTGTACATAAGGCACAACAGCATCCCTTGTATTTTTGGCTTGCCGAGCCGCTGCAGGAACGCTCGGTGCCTGGAAGCCTCCGCCAGCTCCAGCAGTGAGCACCGGTGCCTTGCACTGCAATATTCACCTTAGAAAATCTGCCCTCAAGGCAAGGAGGGTGGCTTTGGGGGAGGCTGATGCCACTGCACATGTGGTGACCTTCCAGTCCTCCACAAGCACCCCATGACCACACATTTCTGTGCCCCAATCTCTGGGGATGCATCAGCCTCTGAGGGGTGTGCAGTAATGAAGCCATTTCTACACTACGGACTGCAAAGGACACAGCTGGGAGCCCCCACGTGCTTTGCAGACACCCTTTGCTTTCCCTCTGCCCGTCCACTGGCTGAGGAGCAGCCAAGGAAAAGATATTCAGGATGCGGTGAGGACTTGGGAAGTATTGAGCTCAAACAGCAGGGAAACATTAATATATGCTCTTTCCCCTTGAAAATATTTCTTCAAAAGACACTGCAGCTATCTGGGATGTTCCTACACAACAGCAAGTCATAAATGATGGCTTTCTTCGAGCAGCACAGACTGGAAGCTCAGTTAAATACATCAAATTAACTGTCAAAATAATCTTCCAGGACTTGATGAGCCCAAAGATTAAACAGCATGTTATTTCTTCTCCGTGCTTTTTTATCTTAGCAAAAGGGATTTACAGTAGATTCCAAAATCCATATTTTAAATGAATTGCAAATAGTTTCTTGTAGATATGGCCCATATGAAAAGGATTATTACCCAAAACAACGCCTTTGTCAGGGGGAATGTAGGTTAAAGAGAAATGGGAATGTAAACAAACGTACAGGCTTTGCAGTGAATTCTGCAGGGGGTTTGTTTATTTATTCTTTTCATTCTCCGAGCCTGGCTTCCTATGCAATTAAAGGGTCCAGCTCTTCCTTGCAAAACATACGATCATTTCTTTTTTTTTTTTCGTGCCATCAGTAAATATTTGGGCTGAAACTGTTTAAACATAAGCTTTCAATAATCTTTGTTTTGCTTTTTCCTGTTCTCTGGCTGAGCCCTGGTTTGGATTTCCATAGGCTAAAAATACATGATTTTGTTTGAAGAGCTTAGATGATCTTGTTCATTTTGCTGTTTATCTATTACCAGGAGCATCTAATCCTTCTTTGATTGATGTTCAGCGTCATGTAGTTAAACAGCAATCCAGGATACGTAGCAGGGAGTTATTATTCTTCACCAGGCTCTTCAGATACCTAAGCCCGCTGCCGACATCGTGCATCCACCACATATTAAATTGTATTGCCCTGACAAAGCCTGCTGTCATAGGTCAGGAGCAAAAATGTTAACAGATAGATGCAAAAGGGTGATAGAGGACAGAAATGGCAGAGGATATTAGGAGGCATAGGCCAAAGAAAGAGATTGGTAGCAGTCAATCCTGATTTTCAAGATAACAGTGTGACTCCCAGGCACCGCTCCCCGCATTATTCATGTTTGAACACCAAAGGGGAAGAACTGTGCATGTCCAATGCCTGGGTTCAGCCTCAGCTGTGATATTTATCCACGCAGTTATTTGGTGCTCTGAATTGCAGCTGCCCTTCTAAGAAGCTTTGTAGTGATTTTAGTGACCCACTGGTGATTTCTTCAGTTTATTTGAAGACCTGTAGGGTGAAGAAGCAGGAGAGGAAAGGAAAGCCGAAGCTTCCAAATGATTTCCCCATCTACTGGGCTTCTGGATGCTCATGTCAAAGCTAGAAAGCCATGTTAATTACAGGCATCTAGAAAGAGCCATAATCATCTGTCATTCATGGTGACAGGATGACATCTCCTGTTTGCATGGTTCAGCATTGCCATTCGCAATCTCAAGAGCTCAGGCTGCAATGATAACTATTTCTGACAACCCTTGGAGATGAGTTTGACGTTTTTGATGTACGTGTGTGCAAGGGAGGTCATATGGCATGCAGGTATGTGTTAGAGCCTTCCACAGATGAAGAGCAAACAGGTATTTTGTGCTGAGCAACCCTGGGGTTGGAAAAAGGAGGAAATCAGAATGAAAAAAGAAAGCACCAAAGGCAGAGAACCCCATGTACCATCCATACAGCTTGTGTTGCTGGCTGACCATTACGTCCTGCATCACTTTAAGCTCAATGCTGTACAGGTCTAAAAAAATCTTGCTTATTAGGGCCTTGAACTGTGTAAATCAGAGTGGGGGGCAGGGGGAGCAGGAATGCCAGACCCAAGTAACAGGTCCAGCAAGAGGAATTTGGGAGCGAAGTGAACCCAGGCGCAGACTGACATCTCTGTGCAAAGCAGAGCATCAGGATGTCAGATCGGTTTTAGCTGCGCGTTGGGTTTTCCCTGTCAGATATCAATCTTTTGGAGAGCTGGCATCTCTCTTCTCTTCCTTGGCTCTGGCTGTGCTATGTACCTGCAGAAGGTGGGTCCGCTGGCTCCTGCTCCCCTCAGAGCTGTGTGGGCATTGGGATGCCCAGCCTGTGTCTCTGCCCACCCCGCACGTTGTGTGCCCTCCTCACCTGCATGCTGTGGTTGCCAAGCCCTGCGTTAGGCTGCGGGTAGGTCACAAGCTGGGGTTGGTCACACAGCTCAAGCGGTGAGGAATGCAGAATCCTTCATCGCTTGTGATTAATAATGTGTCACGAGAGGTGAGAGTCGTTTGTCTGCGGAATTTGTTAACAGCGTGTAATATTAATAATAACAGAAATGAATAAAGGAGAAAACAAACAACAAAAAAATCCCCGTCCAACCCCAAATCCAAGATAAATAATGTAAGGAGTGTCTCCTGTGATCATCTCGCTGCAGATTAGATCAATAGCAACATCTGAACGCAGCCACAAGAGTGGCTCTGAGCCCAGAGCTCTGCAGCACCGGTATTCACGGCCCTTATCATGGTTTATTACATAAATGTTTTCCCTGCACATCGCAAGGTTCCCTGGCTGGCTAAGATACAACACTGCTGAAATAAATATTTTGTTAATTTTTTTTCTTGCTAGGGGAGAGATCAAGTAGTAACTCTGCCACTGGGAAAGAATATGCAAAAATGGTTCTTTAAAAGGTCACGCTTATATTAGAAACTGAGAATACAGATAGAAAAGGAAATGTACGCTCGTTCTGCCCTTTGGGTGGATGTGAGACACAGCAAAGTTTGGTGAGTAGAAGTGCTTTTTATACTTATGGAATAATGTTTGCAGTCTGGGCTCTTGGAGGAAGTTGGCAAGAATCTCTTGCCGTGGGATTTCTAACTAATATGAGGAATTTCTTTGTTTGCTGTGTTTATTTTTCTTCCTCAACTGAACCAGTCTTGTAGCGTTTATTGTGTAATTCATTATTTATACCACAGCATTCAGCTGCCCTCATCGGATCAGCTCCCTCTGTGCAAACACACAGTGGGAAAGTCCCTTCCCCAAAGAGCTTTAGCCATCGGTGTTAATGAGAAGACAAAGGTGCCTGCTGCTCTCCCGCGCTTTGTTCTCGCTCACAATAACAGGCAGCTTGTTTTCCACCATGTCTCGGGAGACGATGGGATTTTACCTCCCACGGGCTTTTGCCGAGAGCCAGCACCTGGACGGGACGGGGCAGGTTTGGGCCTTCTTTGCCCATTCTGGGAACGGATGGAGGTTTGCGTCACGCTCCTTTCCTGTGAAGACATTGAAGTCTTAGCACATTGCTGTTTTCTTTAAAAAAATAAATATTTCAGCTATGGGAAGTTGTCATCCGGGTGCCTGTGAGTTAGGCAACGAGAGCGGCCTCGTTGCTCCTGACAGGAATGCCGCAGGAGGCAAGGCCGGGGCAGCATCCTCCAAGCAGGCTGCCTCCACGTGGAGGGCTCAAAATGATTTTAGCTTCTGTCTTTTTCTACTTTACAGCTTGGTATTCCCTATTGAGGAAGATATGAAGAAGTTTTCCCACATTCTTGGTTATTAGACAAGGGGAGCACAATATGCAATGGTGGTTAAAATGGTTTACGATCTAGAGTACTCCAAAGGATAAACAACGCAGAGGAGGAGAGGACCGCTGGAGCATGATCTTTTGGCAGCACATGAAAGCCCAGAAATGATCTTGGAAATGTATTGATTCAGGGATTAGCATGAAAGGCATCCAGCTAGGATGCTCTGTTCTGTTTTGGGTGGCATCACCGGAGACCTTGAGGAAGGTCAGTCAATCGCGTTGACTCTTGGTCATTCCAGCTGGAAGTTGTGTAAGAAGCAAAGACTTCGTGGAGGACCAGATGCTGCATCCATGCTTATTGTTCCAGGGTAAATAAAAGAAGAAAATCCTTTTCATTTGTTTGAGCAGCTGCTGATCTCCTGTGAATTTTCTACTCCATCATTTTCAAACAGAAATTGGCTAAGTAACTGTACATATTTCTAATTTAAATTAAAGTGTAATTTAAATACACGCTTCTATTGCCATTGTTATGAAATGTTATGAGCCACACTTTAAAAGTGCAATCAGAAGGGTTACAAGAGCAGCGACACAGAAAAAGCCCGTTGTGCTAGCCAGGCACATTTCTCTTGACTACATTACGTGAGGCTTTTTGAACATCGTGAAATAAGACCTGGAGGATCTGAAATGGTTTCTCTTTTAAAGCACAGCTGCTCTGTTATCCTCTGCCACAGCTCCATCTCAACTATTCCTGCAATGGGGGCTGTTCAAACAGAGGCAGATAGATATGGCTGGAAATGCAGACTTGGCACCGTATCGGATGCAAAGAACATCGTACACCTCCCAGGAGAATAAAGCCATGCCGAGGGAGAAGCAGAAAGCTGACACCTTGTGCTGCAGCTCCAGAGCGATGGGTGTGCATCTGCCTCTCCTCGTGCACCACTGCAGGTTCCTGCCCCAAGCACGGCGCTGACACCTCTGCAGCTGCAAGGAGGCAGTAACTGATTTTAGGCGGTGTTCATGATACACCATGCTGACTGCAGGCTGTACAGCCACTTAATTAACGACCTGCTGGCTTCATTCCCGAGTCCTGGCTCCTCCATTTAGACTATTCCAGTCACATACACTCCTGAAAGAGCTTTGGCTTTTACAGATGCAATCCAACAGATGAATAAATAACAATAAGCTCCTGCTGGAATGCATTCAGGAAACATTTGATAGGAACTAATTTATTTTACTTTATTATTTAGCAAGCCAATACATAAACTTACCTAACACAACTGCAGATTAGCTGATGCACTCGCTTTCTATTAGCTTTTGGTTATGTTACTGAAAGCCTCAAGTATATTTTTGGAGAGGGAGTTATGAAAAAAAGATACTTTTTTTTTTTTTTTTTTTTTTTTTTTTTAACAAAAAGACAGACTCCTTGGAGTGGAAACCAGAGAGGGTAGAAAGATGCCAAATATATTCTCTATTCTCCTGGCTGTAAATAGCCAGTACTGCAGTAAGTCCTTTTGCTAGAAATGGTGCATCTGCATTACTGAAAAACAGTTACGGTGGTCAGGGTGAAAACAGGAAGAACCACGATGCATCCACTGGCTTTGGGAAATGTTCTGGGTCCCCAAGATGTCTAGGAATGGAAAGCAAACCTTCTGTGATGCCATCTACTGTGGAGTTTTTTTTTTTTTTTAATTTTTAGAGTTCTTTTGTTGTTGCTGTTGGATTTATCTGTTAGCCAAAAGAAATAGTTTGAAATACCTGGGCCCCAGTCCTCCAAATGAGAACCCATTGGAGATCTTGCAGTATGGGAGTGAAATAAATGCCCAAGTCTTGCAGGGGAAGAAATATGGTAATATTCTCAGAAAATCTTGTGCCCCTGTTTTATAGAAATAAGCACAAACTGAACATGGGTAATTCTTTGAAAATTTTATGGGCGGTTCAGGTAGTAAAGGAATATAAATGGAAATCTACCTATCACATATCAGGAGAAAATGAAAGTTGAGTGTGTTGCATGCTTGAGCTGCTGTATTTGTACAGTCATTTATTCAGCAGTCATCCTGGTAGTTTTTCTACCCCTTCAACTCTGTGAAACTGTAGAAAATGACAGTTTCTTTGCATGGTTATATGGAAAGTACACTTTCCATTTCTTAAAAAGGCCACAACGTTCACAGAATTTGCTGGTGTTTAAGAAGTGGAATGACATTTTATTCAATTTTAGCACATTTAACAAAATTTAGAAATAGCTTAGTTCATAGCTTAGTTCATCAAGAGATGTGTCTGCAAAGCCAGGAACCTGAAAGTGGGGGGTTGGCCAGTTAAAGCAGATTTACAATTCCCAGGAGAGAAAATCAATTGAGAAGAAACCCAAAGCTTAGAGAAAGAAACCCGTATTTGTACAAATTCTGGTGTATTTATGAAATCAGTTATACAAGTAAAAGTGGCCAATGTGTAAAAAAGAGAGTGTCCAGATGTAGACAGATCACTTTTAAGACAGAGAAGGTCAAGTGACTTTCAGCACTACCAGTGTCCCCAGGCCTCAATGGGATAAAGTGAAGAAAGAAGCATAACCAAGGAATAAAGACTATTGAGTGCTCTGGAAAGTGCTGTCATCAGTTAATTTCTGGGGTTAATGTTAAAGCAGGGCACCGCAGCATATGCCAGTGCTATCTGGGGGGAACAGTGGCAGTGGAGAGCTTCAGAGAAGAGTGCCAGCCATATATTCTGTGTCTTCCTCTCCCCCCTACGTATAAATATAGATAACAGTGTTCTGATACACCCAGCTTGGATTCTGAAAATGGTTTCCCATTTCCATGATCCCTCCCCACATACAAGCTGTCTTTTTATTTTTTTGTCAGTGACCAAAAAAGACTTTGTGGCTGCTTTCCTGCATGTTTTAGTTCTGTTCCCAAACGGAGAGCACCCCGAGCCTGCAGCAAGCCTCCCTCACACCTCCGCCAGCCCCAGCTGCACTGGGTTGTCTCCTGCTCTGCAGCACGGTGTACACACGCTCATGGTGATAATTCCCAAGGCACTTTGGTTGTGCTTTGAGGAATTAGTTAAACCTCCAGCTCTACCTAGAGCTGAGGGGCTTGTGGGGGTGGGGATGCTGCATGGAAAGCAGGCAGCCTGAGACAAATATAGAAGCTGTCAAGGGAAGCTTGTTTGAAGCATGTCCCCCCAAACCCACCAGTCTATTATTCCAGCCATAAATTTGTCCTTCAGTGTTTGTTTTTCTTTTCTTAGAGTCTGAAAGGCCCATTTCTAACACTGTGAAATCTCAGCTGTCATATCTGCTTTCCGCTTATTGCAAGCTACGCACTGGAGCACTGTGCCCTTTCATATCAAATACATCATTAAAACAGATCCTTTTTCCCATCAGAACTAAACTCTGGGTGCGGCGACTCAAGCGTTTTCTCCAGCAGCAAAGCCAGCCAGAGACATCCCCACCGTGCTGACCCCTTGGGTCTGCTCGCTCATGCAGCATCTGTGCCCTCCCAACACCTATGGGGCTGCCCCATGGCCTTGATCCACACGGATTAAACCTGGTGCTCTGAAAACGTGGGCTTCAGCACAGCAGAGAGGGGCATCGACCCCTAGGACTGAAACGGGCGTCTGCGTAACCACATCTCCGGGGGGCTGGAGATGCTCTGATAGCATCGCTGCTGCTGGCGGGCACTGCCCAGCACACAGACTGCAGGCAGGGAAAAAAACCTGACCTGAAACCTTTTAACATTTCTCAAACAGCCGGCTAGAGAGACAAGGACCGGTTATTTATCTGTAATGGCACTCTCTTTGGGCATTTTCCCAAACAAAATTAACACCCTTACATCCCTAAACCAATTCTGTGTCTTACTTTGATTAAGCAATATGCTGTTATTTATTTAATCCTCTTGGAAACATCAGAGCTGCGGTGAGCAGAAGAGCCATGTTTATTTTCAGACACTTCAAATTCATTATACTCCTGTGCTCATAGGTACATACACAGATTTATATGCTTGGTACAGAGAAACACGTTTAGGGAAACAAAACAGAAGCACCTAAAATACAAATCAGGGCGAGCCATAAATGCTGCACTGCAGTCTCGGGTCCTCCTCCCAAACGTGAATATCTCAATCTCCCAAAAGACTACAGCTCCCAGCATGCACCAAATAAAGGACATTTCGGCAGCAGGGTGATTTCTTACACAAAGAGGTAATTAACCAGCCTGGCCAAAACAGGAGCAGGTTATGGCCACAGCTGCTCCATATCCTCGATACTTTGGTGCAGCTGCCAGCTCACAAGTTTACCCTGCACATCAGCCAGTGAAAATGTGTTTGCCGTGGTGGTTGTTGGGAGGAAAAGGGTTGCTAAAAATGACACAGAGAGGTTGGTGAGTACTGCAATACCACAGGAAGAAACCCAAATGCATAGAGCCACCTCTGTGAACAGGTGCTTGCTTTGGAGAAAATCCTTGAAATTGCATTAGCAAAGGAGCAGAACAGAAGGTAAAATGTATCACTGTGGGTATCCACAGCCGCAGTGCCCTAATGAGCTATTGCAGCTAATGAACGAAGCTGTGTTTGGTGTTGCAGTGCCAAAAAAGCTGCAGCCCTGTGAACATGTGTGCAGAACCTCCTGGAGGGGTTTGGGGTTGTTGCCTTCAGACAGCATCGCTGGCAAGGTTGGGGCTGGCCTTGGCAAGCAGCTGCCACCACAGGGCATGCTGGTGTCCCTGTCCTGTTTGGGAAGCAGGGATCTCACCCCGAGTTTCCAAACTGCCCATTCAGGGCAGACGTTTGCCATTCAGGTGCATGTGAAACCTCAGCTTTTTGCAAATGGAGGTTTCATGCAGAGGCAGAGCCTTGCTGGTGGTTATCAGCTCAGCAGAGACCGTTCCTGTTCTTATTCCTGGAGCAAAGAGGCTGGAAGAGAGGTAAGTAAGCTGGGGGGAATAAATCCTTTTTCCTCTCACAGCTGATTTTGTAAGCCTTAAAAATAGAAGAGCCCACTTGTGTTTTCTCCAGCCCTGTTCGGTGTTAAGGACTCGGGTGTATATTTGTACGAGATGTATGTGTGTGTCTATAAAAATCTGCACCTCCTCTTCTCCCCCACGCACATATGAACATGTTGTCACACTTGAAATTCTTCAGATGGTAAAAAAAAACTCTGGAGGATGATCAAAGGTTAATGAAAAGTTTGTCCAAGGAGCAGACCCCGGCACAGATAGCAGCTCTTTAAGGCTTTCAAGCATCTGACAAGAAACCATCAACAAGTATTTGTGGTCAGGGATAAAGAGAAACATCCTTCTGAACATATCGAAGCATGAAGCCTCCGCAGTAGTTACCTTATTATATTATCCCTCCGTGTCAAGCCATGTCATTTTTTATGATGAAAACTGATTTATATGTGACAGTGGCAACTTTTTTATGGCCCTCGGGGGATGTTACTTCAATAGCTGGGATCCAAGTAGTAGAAGTGTAGTCTGCAACCCTGTAATAAATGGCAGTGTGAGGGAGACGAGTGATATGTTCTCGTTCCTGTTACCAGACTTTAATAAGTATTGCCTGTGAGTGTTGACAATTTGCTTTCAATCCTCAATAAAAATTGTCATTGTGGAGCAGTGGTTTTTGGTGGTGGTGGTAGTGGTGTTTTGTTGTTGTTGTTGTTTTTTACATTTTTTCCAGGTTTCTCATCTGTTAAAATAGAACTCTCCTGAAAGTAAGATTTGCTGTGATGCCTGGGAAACTCTTAAGGTTATTTATTTATGTTTTGAGAAGTTTCCTGTTATAAAATGAATGCACTTGTATTTATGCTACCAGAGCACTGAGAGCTGCGCTCAGGTGAAAGAGAGGTCAGCAGTCCTTCAGGAAAGAGGATGAGGGTTGCTGGAATGGTTTCTCTGGGCCAGAGCCTCCTCCCATCCAAGCTCTGAAAGACCTCAGGAAGGATCAGCGGGAGCAGCCAGCACCGTGGGGGCAGCCTGCAGGTCGGGGTGCCTCAATGGGCTCAGCACCAAGTGCTGAGAAAGCACCATCACCTCTGGTTTGGGTGATTTTTGGTGAAAAAATCTAGTTTCCAGTGGCCAGAGGGTTGGGGGCTGACCATGGTGGGGGGGAGATGCTGGAGAAGGAGATTGATTCATGTTCGTAGGGGTTAATTATTTGGTGGATGCTGATGAACTGGGCAGAGACCTGAAAATCTATAAGGATTTTGTAATGGGAATTTATCTTCATACCTATTCTGTTATTGATCAAAATGGTATCACGAGACATCCAGACTCTATTGATTCGTTTAGATATGTTAATGGTGTTTGTACTCGAAATGGAGTTTGATACGCTGGTGGAATTTTTCCCTTTATTTTTATTTTCCTGTCACCATAGTAATGCATATGTAAACACTTCTTATTTAAAAATATCAAAGATGAGAGCAGATTTAAAGCATTTTAGCATTTAAGTGCTGGGATCAGAATAACGTGTGGTGTTTTGACACAAGCTGAAAATATATCCAAAGGCTCCTTTCCAGCATGCTGACAAAATATATAAATTAGCCTGGCAAAGGTCTGACTCTCAGCAGAGCTCCCAGCTCAGCGTGGAGGCCTGATCCAGACGAGCAGCTGAAGCCACTGCCTCCGAAACGTGGTGAATCATCATTTTTCTAACAAAGATTGTACCTGTGGCCATCGCAATGAGGGCTGCAGGGAACCAGCAGCTCACTGCCTCTGATGTCAGTGATAAATTAGCATTCCCCTGTGCCTGGCTGCTGCAGCGGCGGCTGAGGAATCCCCAGGGTGGCCTTAGCTGTTATTTTGGTGGGGAGAGAGGGAGCAGAGTCACCCCTCGGGGAACAGCAGGGAAGGACAGCACTTTTTTTTAGGAAATGGCACCAAACAGCACATCTTGTACAGCCCTACCAGCACTCTCTTGTAAAGGAGTGGGTCAGGTATGGGAGAAAACCTGGTGCAAGATGAAGCGATTTTAATTTGAGAGCTGTGATGGTTAGTGCAAACGGGCTGGTAGAGGCATGAAATGTCCTCGAGTAGCTCTGAAAACCAAAAGGCAACTTTATTCAGGGATGTTTCTTCTTACGGCTGATGGATAAAGCTTCCCCTCAGGCTTGAAAAGATGTAGCATTTAAATCATCATGTAAGGAAAGGAATTTTCTGTTGAGACACAACAATAGCATGAAATAAACAAACAAGCCCACAAAACACAATCATGTCGCTTCTATTGAGTTAGATATTTATTTAGGTGCCCAAGTCTGGTTCCTAATTTTAGGCATGTGTTTTTACCAGCACTGAGAACACTGGCCCTGATAACACCAAAGGCACAGACACACCACAAGGAGGAAGTTAACATTAAGAGTGTGATTTCTTCTAAAGATTACAGATTCTGTGATTTACACTTCTAATTCCTACAGATGCTCTGGAAAAGCCCACTTTAAATATTTGTCAAGCGTGCTAGGGCTTCTGGTGGCAAGTGCTGTGCAAATTCAAAGCTTTAATATTATTGCTTAGCTACTGTACCTGAAATACAAAGGGGTCTCATTGTCTTTAAATGTCACTTGGAGAAAGAAAAAGGAAAGAAAGAAATCTGCCCCTAGAGAGATCAGCTTTCATTTTCCAGGAATTCTCTGCTCGCAGGCAGACCTTCAGTATTGAAGGGAGACTCGTGCATGTTTGCATCTCATCTGTTCTTATGGAGGCTAAAGGAAAGTCTCCCAAAGGGATGTATGTGGCTCTTTGTGTTTTATTTCTGCACCTTGCTTGTGCTGTCCTGCAGCTCAGGGTAGCACACTACTGTTAATAAAATACCAAAGATCATGATGGTTTTGGAAAGCAGGTCAGCTGCCGTGTCTCATTTTTAGCTGTTCTAATTACTCCACAGCACAGCCAGACACACACAATGACCCCAGAAGGTTTGCCTTTGGAGCAAGACCCTCTCTCTGTGCTGCTAGATCTAAAGAGGGGCTATGTTTTGCTTCTTAGAGCTATTAACTTGGTAAATTATTCCAGGTGCAAGCAGCCTCTCACCTGGGCCACTCCATCTCCCGCAGCAGCAGCTGGTGGTGGAGGGGGAGCATCCTTTTGGCTGATGAAAAGCCATGAATCTCTGCCAGCTGCCTGCTGCCCCCTCCCTGGTCTCCATCCTGCAACTCACACCTCCCCGGATGTTCAGCCATGCTCTAATGATCTATTAATTAAGGGGCTGTAGCTATAATGGTGTGTGTTGGGGGGGGATTTCTCCCCTTATTACTGTAGAACACGTTTTTATGAAGCTGTCTTGCGACCTGAATGTTTTTAAGTCCTGGGTAAGCAGCAGTCCCCTGGCTAATTTGATGCTGAATGTTTCCATTTGTAGTGTTTCACTTCTATGGCTTTTGAAGTGGGGATCATGTAGGTTGTTTTTTCAGTTTGCTTCAAGGTCCTTGCAAGTGCCCTGGGACAGTCTGCTGGGAAGGGAGGTCTGTGTCCTGCAAAAGGAAAAGCTGGACTGGGGTTATCCTATACTTTGTGGATTGCTACATATATGAGACCCGGGTGATATTTTTGTTGTTATGATTGCTTATCGTCCTCTTTACAGCTAACCATAATTACTGTTTGTGGGTTGTTTGGGCATGCAAAAAAAGTCCAGTGATATATGGCCAAGCTAATTCAATTATTACTGGAAACTTTTTATCATGCTTCTACTGGCATTTTGTCCTCAGTCATTATACTTGAACTTTGATACGCTGTTTATGAAATATAAGTCTGCCCGCTTCGAGAGCAATCAATAAAGCTACTCAGCAGTTCTTGGTAGACAGGTGTCTACTGATTTTCAGAAGAGTTCAACACCTATTGTACTGAGAGCTCTGAAAATAAAAAATGTTGAACAGGGGATGAAAGATGCTTGATCCCGAGGAACAGAAAGTGCTTGACCTCTTGTATCTGCTGCATCCTCCTGCCACTGTGGGCTGTCTCACTGCAGTGGGGCACATGATACATTTACGAAGGACTTGTTTTATGCTTGAAATTAGAAAGGGGAGTCTTGTCGCTGCTTTCTCAATAATCTGGACTTCTAAGCCATTCAGGTCTTCCTTTTACTTATGATAACTTTCTCTTGGTACAGTCCATAGGAGTTTGTGGTGGCTTATACTGGTATAACAACAGGATAACTTATAGGATCAAGGCTTTGAAGAGCTGAAAAGACTGGAAAGAAGAAATAAACCTTTCCCCAGAATTGTTTCGATTGCATAAGAATTTTTTGTTTTTGGAGGTGGGTGAGGGGGACCTGGCATGGAAGCATTGTCTGGTCTGCAGTAGCTGGTGTTCTTCAGGTGTCCGAATACTTGCTGTAATTATCCTTTCCTAGCTGAGGACCTCTGGCTAATAGTAGAGCATCTGCAAGGCACAAAACAAAGGGCTCAGTTTCTCACTGCATCAAAATGCCTTTCTTCCCTATGTCTCATCTGCACACTCCAGGTGTGCAGCAGCCAGGCAGACTGCCCTGGGCTCCGAGTCTTACTGAGGTGTTAACTGGGGGTTCTTGCAAGGATGAAGGATTGTCACTTAACTCATCTTAATGGAACGGTGGTTGAGGGGGGGAGAGATCTTCGCTTATGTTCTTCATTTCCTATTCTGATTCTAGAAATGGGTCTGATATGAGAAGTTCAGTTGATTCCTCTACAGCAGAACTTTCTGAAGAACAAAGCAATGTGTTGAACAATAGTACTGACTGAATAACACAGACATTTCATCAGTCTATTACTTTGGGAACATTTTGGACTTAAGTTAGATACGACAATGTTTAAATTCCATCTGGCCAGCAAGGACTGTGGCAGTTTCAAAAAAAAAAAAAGTTCTCTCTTGAAGTACTTGCTTCAGATCAGCCTGAGTCCTTTGGACAGTAAAAATCTGGGGTTTTCCTTGATCTCATAACTGTGCTGCTTTACTCTGGT